TTATTATTAAAGAACTCAAAGTAGAAGAAGGAAAATTTCATCTAAACATTATGAACTTCCTGAACTAAGACATATCTTATAGTGGAATAGTCTGCTTTGGAAGGTGGTAGATTTAATGTTCATTGCAGGTTTTAAGACATAACTTGGGACATTGTAGCTGTGATTTTCTTGCATTGGTTGGGGGCTGCATTTGATGACCCCTGGAATCCCTTCCAACTTCGTTATTCTACAGTATCTCAGCACCGTAAACACCACATTTTATCCTCATTTTCTTCTTTCATTGGGCGAAATGGATCAACATCTGTTATCACACTTAAAAGATATTCCATAGACAAATGAAGACCATTGCAGCATGTCCATGTAAAATCTGCCAACATCACAACAATGTGATGATTCTGCTCCTGCCACCCCACCCCACCCCATCCATCTCTAGCTCTAATACAGAAGACAATGCTCTAATTTGGCACGACAGTTTGGAAGAATTAGAAAAGCTAAACAGGTGAATTAATAACAGGACTGACAACATCCATTCAGAGACATGTTCAAGTTCTAACTGCATCAATTATTTGGACAGCTTCATGAGAAAGCTTACAAGTACATCATTATTCAAGAAAGGTTCAGATTGTGATCCAAACAGCTAATATTAGTTACAACTCGCTGAATTTTCATTTTCTAAGCTTTGGGCAATTGTTCAAAGATCAAGGATTTTTTTAAAAAATTCTTAATCAAAGCTGGTTAATCAAACTTTACATATGATTGATATTTTTAAAATGAAAGGTCAACAACCTTTATAAGAATTTAGGTTGCCATAGGGTATCTTGTATACTTTGGTTCCATTATCAATCTAAATGGAAACTGCAGCCTAGAAATCAGAAGAAAACTGCCTTGGAATGGCAACGATAAGGGAATTAGAAAAAAAATCAAGTTTAAGGATGTTTCACTGGACATCAAGACCAAGATCATCCACACTCTTGTATTCCTGATCACCATGTACAGGTGAGAAAGGTGGACAGTAAAGAAAGCTGACAGGAAACAACATTGAGTAGAAAAAGAAAGAAAAGACTGAAGAGAGCTTTGTGAATACCCTGGGCTGCCAGAAAGATGATCAAGTGTGTCCTAGATCAAATCAAAGCTAAACTAGCTCTGGAAGTAAAAATGTTGAAACTGAGGCTGTCCTCCTTTTGGCACATCATGAGAAGGCAAGATTCTCTGGAAAAGACAATAATGCTGGGAAAGGTGAAAGGCAGCAGGGAAAGAGGAAGACCAAATACGAGGATTGACTCCATAAAGGTAACACAGGGTTGAGTTTGCAGGAGCTGAGCTGAGCTGTTGAGGATAAGACTTTTTGGAGATTGTTCATTCATAGGGTCCTCATGAGTTGGAAGCAACTTGATGGCACACCCCAGCACCACCACCACCAACAACAATAGGGTAATTCAGCCTATAACAATTATTGTTCCTTTTTTGATCTGAATAATTTGGATTCTATAGAAACTAAATGGCGGTGGCAGCCAGAGTTTAACAAGGAAATGGTATTTAAGTGTGTGTCTACAAACGTGTCTGATAACTATAGGAACATTGTGTTAACAGCAAAATACTTCTTAAAAGTGTTGAACTGTGCTGCAAGACACCTGACTTGCACAGCTTGCATGGTTTGTCCGTTCACCTATATAGGGGGTAGGCCATTTATCATCTGCCAGATGTTGGGTTGCACAGCTTGCATGGTTTGTCCGTTCACTTATATAGTTCATTTATCATCTGCCAGATGTTGGACTGCTGGCTAGGATTGATAGGAGTTGCAGCCAAACAGCATCTGGAGGTCTGCAAGTCCACCCCTACCTCTGCTATGTGAATGAGCATAGAACAATTGCAAGCACTTGTTTAAAAGTCTGTTTACTGCTCAGGTTTCAGAACAGTGGGAAAGCCTTGCTTAAATACATTTTTACAGATATTCAACTCTTCAGTTGTTCCAACACAGTGGAGCTCAGCAAACATGACTGAACTTCCTGGCAGGGATGCATTAAAAAGCCCTCTTCTAGTTTCGAGCCTATAAGGGAAATTATGGAGTTGAAAAAAGGTCGGCTTCAGCACTTTTCAGTGTATGGCTAGAAACAAATGGAGCAATAAGTCAAGCAAAGTGAAATGGATTTTGTCCACACAGCACCTTAAAAACCAATAAACCAATCTCAAAACTTTCCTGAATTATTTGGAGCCCACACAAGGACGAGTGCCAACTTCAGAGGAATAGATTCAATGCAGGTGTTTCATAAATAGCTGTGCAATCGCACATGTAATGGAACTTCTTCAGGAGCTAGAACCAAACACAGTCAACAACCAAGATATCTTTTGATTTCCAATATGTATCACATCAATGGTTAAAGTATTATTATTTCCTCTTGTGTCCTTTCTGCATCACCATGGATTTGTTTTTTTTCTAATGCAAAGTCTTTTACAGTCTGACTTAGTGGGTTTCTGCAACAGGGACAAGGAATGTGCGTCCCTCCAGATTTGGACTGTACCTCTACCATTCCTTCCACTATCTATGTTGGCTAGGACGAGTGGGAACCTCTGTCCATCAGCGTCTGGAAGGCTGCACATTTCTGAACACTGCTGCATAAGTTCAGTACATAGAAACACCACCTCTGTCAAGTTCAAGGGTAGGAACTTCTTTCAGTTCCAGGGCTGAAGTGGAATTTCAAGAGATGTTCTCAGGGGACACATTCCATTGATGTCAGTACCAAAGGCAAAAGGATGGAATACAAAATGCCAACATATGAAAATTTCAATGTTTGTATCGTCAGTAAGTAAGCTATATGAGAGATACATATGTCTATCTTTGGGGAAATGTCAAAATTTTTATTTTTTATTTTAAAGATGACTGCAGCAGAGAACTGGAAGCCCACCTTCCACTTCTCATTGTACCTTGTGCCTGGGTCATCTCTTCCTACTGAAACCCAGAGCTTCTGCCCTCAGAAATGAAGCATATATCTCATTAAGAGAAAAAGACTTTCCAAAAGTCCCAGAACCTTTGACATGGGCTTCAGCAAGAAAGCCACATACCACTGGTGAGGGGAGTCACATGGGGGAGCAGATCAGATGTAGGGTGCAAGCAAAGTAGGGTATCTATTGGAGATGAAAAGCACTTATCCATAGTTGAGAGTGTTGTGGAGTTGAAGCAGTATGGGATATGTGGTCAGAGAAATGTAAGATGGAGTCAGACAGGTTCTGTGTGAAGATGATTTGAGAGACATTGGAATGTGTTTTTCTAAGTGCCATGAGAGTGTTTTTCTGAAGACTGGTACAGCATGGTTCGAGATAATGCTGAAGGCCAAACAAAGGAGCCCGTGGAAGACTCAACATTCCAAGCTAATTGGAGAAGAGATAAAACACCTGGACTTCCATGGGAATTGAGAAAGGAGGAAGGTGTTACAGCCCCTGAGACTAATTGGTTAATAGCCATGAAGAGTCAAGAGGAAGGGAGGAGTTAGATAATGTAGAAAATGGACAATGGGTTATGTGAAAGAAGTTCTGTTCTGGAGTTCTATTCCATGATGATGTGAGAGAAAAAGAACTTGATGGTCTGAGTATGTGGCTTGAATGAGAAAGAATGCAAGTGGAGAGAAGGAAGGAGGTAAGGTTAGCCCACCTTGGCCCAGCTTAGTAGTGTTTATCATTTCAGTGGGGATTAGCAATTTAATTTAACTGTAATGATCTTTGAATATGTTATTTATGCTAAAGCTTGAGCAATATAAACTGATTCTATGAAACTCTATTTTTCTAATAAAAAATAATTATAAAAATTCTTACAAAAGGACTGGTCTCTTAGACAACAGGGTTTGACTAAATCCAGGAGGTGGAGACGGCCACAAACTAGCTGTCTTTAAGAGTCCTACCTAACTGAGCTGTTGTGAGTTCTAAGGAGTCACAAAGCCCATGTGTCTGTACTTGCAAAGTACTGGATAAAAGTAAAATGTTCTTTTAAGGTCAGACTTGTTCAAGGGGCTTGCGCTACACACTGCTGACATTTTGAGAATTGCCTGAGTGCAAAGGTCAAACTCTCTGACTGAGTGCTAAATGCTCCTTAGGGAGGCTTGGGCATTACAGTGAAGGCTGGCAGAGAGGGGATAAATGGGTGAGAGGCAGTAGCAGAAAAGGTCCCATTCTCAGCAGCTCAGGAGGACAAAACACAAAGGAACATAAGGAGTGGGAAGATGCTCTGAAGTGGCTTCCTTTGGAACCCAAGAAGAAAACCCTCCATGTGGTGGTGAACTGGCACATGATGCCTTGGTGCTACAATTACAAGACCAGCAGCCAGCACCCTCACTGGATTACCCCACTGCAACATAGAGGCACCGCTGGCATTGCAAGCAGCACCAGCTGGCCCCCAAGGTGTGAGGTCCTAAGCCAATGGACACAGGTAGGGCTCCTTACACTCATCGGAGAAGGTGAAGGGAACCATCATGGACATAGTTGGACTGAGAGGGACAGGCCAAAGACCCGAGTCATCCTCTTAGTTTTATCTCCACTTTGAAACTCACTGTCATTGAGCATATTTATCTGGACTCTTGGGTCCCTTGGACACCCCCTCCCCATGATACTCTTAACAACCTTGTCTAAAACTGGGTGAAGAGGGCACCTTGTTTCAGAGGAGTTACAGCCTAGGCTTCCCTAAAGCAACTTTCCCACTTTTGTATAAAAATATTTTTTAAACTTTTGATGATGGGGGAGTTCTGATAGCTCCAGAGATGGCAAAAATGCCTTTGGTACCATTGCCACCTGTGATTTGAGTGAAAACCTGCCCATCCAAATGTCATTTTAAGATAAGCATAAGAAGGAAGAGGAGTGGCCTTGGAACTGCCCATCAACAATAGCTATACCAGTCTCACAGAGTACCCAGAGGTTACTTGGATACAGTTTTGCAGTTTATTGTCCTATACTATATTTTTTTTGAAATTACTGTATATTTGTTTTTCTAAATCTGCACATCACCTAATACAAATCTGTCTCCATCCTCTGTTGCTTGTCCTTTTGAATAATGTGTTTGTTGGGGGCGGGGGCGCAAGGTGATATGTAATTGGCTGTTGTAACATTCATGCCACTGTCAGGAAGGCTGCCAACCCAGTCAAAGGGCCAGAAGCCAGCCACAGCCATGTACTTCAGCAGGCATCAAATGTGCCTTTGTGTTACTCATCCCATGGGCATATCCTGTACACATTGCTGCATTTCTTCAAGAGGACAGTAGACGAGGGTTATATAATCCTCAGATAGAGAATCAGATGAATTGCTCCAGGAATATGATCGATGTGTTACTATATTTGTTTCTGTGGGGCTTGGCAAGCAGTTTAGCTTGAAATCCTAGTCTAAAATCAAGCAGCAGGAGGCTTTTAAACTAAAATCCTGTTTACCCAAAATAAAGGACTTGGAGGGATTAAAATACTCCTTAATATTTGTAATTAAATTATCTTTCCCTTTGAACGGAATTTGACAGTGTTTAGGCTTTTGCCAGTACTTTTGTTACAAATCACTTTATTAAATTGGAAAATGTATTAAAATTGCTGTATAATGTAAAAACTGTTGGGCTTTTATGTCAAATTGCAGAGGAAGAAAGTGCTTTTAGACTGGTGTTCTTGTGTCCTTACTGTTTTACATCCCTGCTTTAAAAGTTCATTGTCATCATCTTTAACTATTGTCATTTGTATTTTGCAACTAGCTTCATTTGACAGTGCAGTTATAAATATTCCATGCCAGTAGAATTGTAAATATTTAATTGGTGTTCACTGTGGTTTTTTTCCCCCAGACAACATCAGGAGAAGATGTACGAGATTTCACCAAAGTGTTGAAAAACAAATTCCGATCCAAGAAATACTTTGCTAAACACCCGCGGCTAGGTTACCTACCTGTGCAAACAGTCCTAGAAGGTGACAATTTGGAGACGTAAGTCTTGAAAATGTACAAGTTATTTCCTTCACTGAGTTTTTTTTTAATTACAAATACATTTTTTATTGTGAAAGATGCAGGGAGGATACCTTGCTCTGTAAATATTAGTATCTTTGTTCAGGGTGAAAAGGAAGCGATACTAGTGTTTATTAAAACTGGATTAATAAAAAAAAGTATGAGAAAAATAAGCTATGGCTGATGAAGAAACCATGGTAAATAATGTTTTTTTTTTTTTTTAAGGACAGGATGCATCTAAATCTGAGCATTTTGGGTTGCCATTCAGAATGGTTAAAGTGGCTTGGGTATGCTTTAAAACTCTGTTCCAATTCACTGAGACAATGAAGACATATTTATTTCTTTGAGTTTGAAACAAGATTAAAGAAAATCAGTGGAACAGGAGAATACATGGCTACAGCCAGGAATAATTTCATCAAATGTTTTCTTCTGGTGGTCTCCCTAAACCAATGGTGGGCAACTGTGGTCTTCCATATATATTAAGCTCCTATCTTCCAGGTATGAGGTTTTATGGGAATTGAAGTCCAAGAACATCTGGAGGGCCACAGTTGCCCACATTTGCTCTAAATTGTACCCAAGTGATGTCTGCTATTCAACTGTATCATGAAGGCTGCAGTCCTTATCCTCATTTACTTCTGAGTAGCTTCACTGAAGGGGCTTGCTTTTGAGCAGACAGATATAGAAAGGCTCTGGAAATGATTACATTACTGCTGAAATTACTTCTGTATAATATTCACATGTCCTGAACACCAGAGCTTGGAAATAATGAATTCTGAGCAGCCTGTGAAAAAGTAGTGGGGTTTTTTTTTTACAGTAACAATCACAACATTCTGTTTTTCATAGAAGGCATGAGATCCCCAGGAATTCCTTTTGCCTGCATTGAGATTAAGGGATTCCCATGTTACTCATTGCAGGTTGCTCCCCATGTGTCTCTGCTCAGAACTGGCTTCTGTTTCTCTCCTTCCTTCCATTTTCTGTCTTGAAACTCAAACTGCTTTTTCTCCTTTCCTTTTTCCTCTCTTGAAACCCAAACTATATTTTCCTCATGCAGTTCTTCCAACAAGGCAAAACTATTAGGGACAGTAATGACAGCAGTCCGCAGAGAACACTAGATCTATACCACTGAAGTGTTCAGAGGAGGGGATTCTATTCAATAGAACTGTGTGTTGTAGCTCTAAGATGTTCTGAGCTCTGCTAGATGTCCTGCCATTCAGATTTTCATTCAACAATATGCACGCATAATAGGATGATACACCTACATTCTGGAATCAAACCAAACTTTTCTCAGATAGGCATGTAATATAATAATAATAATTTACAAATGTGGTTCTAAGGCAGTTGTGTTTGCTTTTCAAAGGGTTGTCTCCTGCCTCTAGTATGTTGCACTACAGTTTCAGCTATGGCTGTTTTTCTTTGTCTCAGATATTACTAAAGCAACATACTTAAGAGGATCCATGGCTGAACAGCATGTTTGTTAACTGCTTGCATTTTTCTTCTCTCTCTCCATGTCTTTCTCTCTTTTTTTTTCCTAGACCCATCACACTTATCAGTATGTGGCCAGAACAATATGAGTGAGTATCTATAATTCTTTTTTCCTAGAAGGTTGTTGAGTTCAGTCCACCATGTATTCATTCTGCATGTGCCTATTAAAGTAGTGTTCATTGTTTTCACAAAACTCTGCTTCCTTTTATTTTAGTGAGATAGATACTGGAGAAATTCCCAGTCAATTGCCCCTAAGTAAATTAACAGGTGTCTTAATAGAGCCTGTTTGTTAATATATACAGAAATATGTCAACCTGTTTCAATAATCTGTTTCTTTAATACTATAATATTATAAACCTTTCTTTTTTCTGTGCATTAGCAATTGGTGTCAGTTTCTTTTTCTTTCTTACTTTCTTTGCTAGTCCCTCACAGTCACCTCAGCTATTTCATGATGACACACATTCCAGGATAGAGCAATATGCCAACAGGTAAGATTTTTTAATAAAAACATTACTGTAGATATTGCTTTGCAGAACATACTGCACGGATTACATGTTGACATACTATACTGTCCAGGAATAATTCAATTTATGAAGGCTTATAGGAGGTTGTCAAATATTGCTACTAAGGTGATAGTAAGGCAATATATATGCAGAGGTATTGTCCTCACAGATTAACTGTGGAATAGCTAATATTTTTGGATGGCTCTGGCATGTTCTGCATGCATATAACTTTACTTATTTAATTGAAAGACTTTTATTCCTCTTTTGAACTAGTGCATCCATAAAGTGGCTGACCAAAAACAAACAAAACAATCACAGTGAAAAAAGTTTAACTTTGTAAAAAAACTGAGCAGTTTAGCAGAAGTACTAATAGTTATCACAGATCTATAATTTAACATGAAAACAAATTTACTGTAATCTGCCTTGATCACTACCTCATAGTGAAAAAACAGGGTGTAACTATAATAAATAATAATAAATACTGGCTAAAACCCTGTTTCATAATGTAGTAGATCACATAAGATCATTAAACCAATGCATACTTGGTGAGTCAACTCCTTTATAAGTTCCACTGATTTAAATGGGCCTACTTTAATTGCAACTTACTATCTTAAAGTAATTTGCAGTTAGGGTAGCCCATTTGAATTAAGGGAATTTACAGAGGAGTTGACTCACCAAATGCCCATTGATTCAATGGTCCTACTCTGGTGAAGCTTGCTATGGTAAGCAACAGGATTTTGGTAAATAAGAGAGACAATAATAAGTGAAGGACTCTCCAGGAAGGACAGCAATCCTTCCATTACGGAAGAATGACTTCCATAATGGTATTACCCCATTGAGAAGGCCTTCTACTGCATCCCTATTCTCTGTATCTTCAAGGAATGGAGGAGATGGAGCAGGTCGTCTGTACAGATATGTAGATAAAGGTAAATACAGTCCAAACAATCACTTTGATTTATCAGTTCACAACATAACTCTATATATACTTCTCACAAAGAAACTTACAACCTGACACCAAGAGCCACTTAACGAGGGGCTCTGGGCCATCGCTGGAGCATTCGCTCAGCGATGACCCCTATGGTGTTTTTTCGCTTTGTGATATTCGCTAAGCGATTCGCTTAGCGAATATCGCATAACGAAGCAGGGGAGAACAGCTGATCGGCGGTTCCAAAATGGCCGCCGGAAGGTCCGCGCTGCATTTTCGCGCCCTGCCCTCGCTTACCGAGGGCGCGAAAATGGCGGCGCTATGGAGGAACATCGCTTAACGGTGAGTTTTAAAGCCATAGGAACGCATTGAACGAAGTTCAATGCGTTTCTATGGCTTTTTAAATTCCGTTTAGCGATGTTTCGCTATAGCGAAGGTTAATCCGGAACGGATTAACCTCGCTATGCGAGGCACCACTGTATATACTTCTCACAAAGAAACTTACACCCTGACACAAAGAGCCGCCGTTTTCATATTACCCCGATTCAGGGGGTAGCAAAGGGGAAGAGCCAAAGCTTTATTCTTCATTTTAGTGGCATCCTTGTATGAGAGAAACCGGCTGCACCACACATTAAAAGAAGAAAACAGGAATCCTTATGTGAAATGTTTGACAGAAAGAGAACAGAAATAAATAGTGAAGGAGCAACAAAAAATGATTACAGTGATACGTTAGCAGATAAAATGGAAACACTGACATGCTGGTGTATCAAGGAAAACAGCCAGATTGTTCAGGAGGACAAGCAACATAAAGTCAATTAAAAATTGGTGTTTTCACCATTGTATTAACTGCCTAAAAATACTGAAGTGGCCTAAAATTACCAGTGACTTAAGTGAAATTTGGTTTGTTTGTTTTCTTTTTTGAATTTCTGTTTCTCTTTTAGGCTGGCCCAAATGGAACGGACCAATGGTTCCTTGTTCACAGATGGCAGCTCTACCACAGGAAGTGTGTAAGTAGATAATCAGGCATAATTGCTTGGGAAATGTCAACACATGTTATTACAATTATCTTATAAATTATTTATATCAGTATATATATCAAGCACCGTATTTAAACATGTTATTTAAGGGGCAACATTTTATTTTTTATTAAACAAATGGAAACGTTTTGAATACCTAAGAAATATAATATCAGTGAAGCTGTAGTTTGGGAATGTTCAGGAAACTAAAAGCGGCTATATCTAAATCTTGTTTTCTGGCATAAACAAACCCATAGGTTTAGGTCTATTCCCCACCAATATATAAAGAACCATTATGTCATTTGGAGAAGGGGGACACACACACCAAGCCAGTGCAAACATACATGTGTACCCCTGAGAATTGCAACAGAGTAGACTTCAGTCTAGATGGGCAGGAGATATATTGAATAAATAGATTAGGCATCCTTCAGTCTCAAGAGATTATGATGTCGTGCTCTGTATGGAGGACTTGGAACAGGATCTAGTGTGGCTGAGAAGGCCAATTCGAGAGTGACAATCCCTTCCACACCGAAGACAGATCCAATCTGTACCCCGTCTAGGTCCCTGATTTTGCTACTTTCGTGACTGCCTCTTTGCCTTGGCCTGCTGGACAAGGGTCTCTTCAAATTGGGAGAGGCCGTGATGCACCGCCTGCCTCCAGGCTGAATGCTCAGATGTCAAGGTTTCCCATCTGTTGAGATTCATTTCCAAGGCCTTCAGATCCCGCTTGCAGATATCCTTGTATCGCAGCTGTGGTCTCCCTCTGGGGCGCTTTCCCTGCACTAATTCTCCATATAGGAGATCTTTTGGAATCTGATCATCAACCATTCTCACCACATGTCTAAGCCAACATAGATGTCGCTGTTTCAGTAATGTATACATGCTCAAAAATTCCAGCTCATTCTAGGACTACTTTATTTGGAATTTTGTCCTGCCAGGTGATACCAAAAATTTATCGGAGACAATGCATATGGAATGTATCCAGCTTCCTCTCCTGGCGTGCACAAAGGGTCCAGGACTCACTGCAGTACAGGAGTGTGCTCAGGACACAGGCTCTATAGACCTGGATCTTGGTATATGTCGTCAGCTTCTTATTGAGCCATACTCTCTTTGTGAGTCTAGAGAACATGGTAGCTGGTTTGCCAATGCGTTTATCCAGCTTAACATCTAGGGAGAGAGTGTCAGAGATCGTTGAGCCGGGCTATGTTCTTGCGCCGACCCTGTTTGGGATCTTTTTTGCTGTCATGCTGAAGCACGCCTTTGGAAATGCAACAGATTACACATAAAGATGGCGTCCGTAGCGGGCGGCTAGCGCTTACCTCCGCCGCGCCGGTTCGCCTCTTGTGTTCTTCTGCTATCTTTCTTTCTTTTCTTTCTTTTCTTTTCTCTTTTCTTTTCTTCTGCTATCTTTCTTTCTTTTCTTTTTTCTTTTCTCTCCCCTCTCCCTTTTTTCTCTCCCCTTTCCCCCTCCCCTCTTCTCTGGACCCTCTCCCCACCCTCCAATTACTGGCTGCCGGATCGAGTG